GTCACCACCTCCTTTAGACTATCCTTTCAACTTAGCTTTGTCTTCTTTCTAGGTGGTGGGGATATTTCAAACAAAGCAGAGAGGTACAACTATTTCTGATCTTATATACTAAAAATGTCTGTGGGCAAGCTGCGTGACAATTTCACTTTTAGAAATAATAAAAATATTTTTTTCTTTTTTTAAAAAAAATGGCAGATGTGATATGGAGCCTGGCAGGCACCAAGCCAATTGTTCATGGGCACTTTGGTGCCTGCCAACATTATATTCCCTTAACCTGACCTTGTGCAACAAGAAAACCTTCTAATAGGTGGTGGAAAGTAGGGGTTTTAAAACTTCATTTAGGTACTAAAACACATCAACAACCCAATTTTGTCCAAAGATATACATGCTTAAGAACCATTAAGTGGATGCAGACATATCTAATTCTATAGTAATAAGAATATTTGCTTATTGTTGAGTAGTGACATGTTCTGTTTGAATGAATGTAAAATACATACTTTTAGCCTAACAGTAATATTTATTTAATACACATAATGCAATTTACTGCTTGTGTGAAATAAAATAATAAAAATAAAGAAAACTTATCTATAACAAGTACAACAACCCTAACCATACCTAAAATAGACTGCAAGAAAGAGGTGCACCATCAGCAAGAGCAAAGTCCATAATTGAGATAATAATGCTGAGTCTCCAGCAGCACATAATATTTAAACAGCAAAGTGTTAGTTAGTGAACAAGACTCTATTAAGAACTGTGTCTTTAGAATGCTGCCATGACATCCTTAAAACAACAAGTGATTCTACTGGCAATAAAGTCCTCAGCGTTTTAGTTTTTGGCCTTTTATTTACTGGCATAGGTTCATTAAAATTGACTGATCAATTAGCTTTCTATTCTTGACTGTCCAAGTGAGGCCGCCAAGATTCTATCTGAGTGTTTGAAGGCTGTGAGGGTCAGAATGGGGAAACAAACACCTGCTATGCCATGAAGATGTTTCTATTATTTGCCTTTCATCCTTGGAATCACTTTTAAACTCTCTTATCTCATGTTTGCCAGAATTCTTATTGTTAATAAGCTACCCAATGAACAGGTATTAATACTGCCAACTGAAAGTAAGTGACTGTAGGAGCCCCACAGTTCCCAGAACTAGAGAGATTTTATTATTGAATTTGGGACGAGCTGCATTGCCTCACTCAGATTCCATGTGCAATCTGGGGCCTACTAGATACATAGTTCCTGCTACATGCTATAATATATATCAGCAAAATGTAGTTGATCTCTTCTGCTAAACATGGAGATAAGTCACTGCAAAGTTATATTATGGGATGTTCTATAGATTTCCTATGGCATGCTTTTTCGATCATATCATTTAGAAAATTAAAACAATATGTATACATATCTAAGTGCCAGGATACAGTCATGTTGCATGTTGCCCTAACCGATGCAGAACACTTTCAGAATAGGGTCCCATATCTACATTCACAATAGTACCAGTGAAAATGATACTATACTATTAGGGATAAAATGGCTGGTTTAGCAGCTAAACATACAGTAATTGGCAACTGAAAAGAGAGATTAGTGGAGAAAGAATGTGAATCCAAACAAAGAGTTCGGCATATTATGGGGGAGGTATGATGAACTGAAGATGACTCTGAAAGCAGAGTCGAAAATGTGGCAAAGACCAAGGAACTGAAGAGTAGACCCAAGAGAATGGGAGATTGCCCTCATGTGCTCTGGGCAGCTACTCCTCTTGAGGAGATAGCAGGAGAGTGGTTTTCTGTGGGTTTGAGCACCTTAAGATGACAAGTTTAGCAATCTTGTTTGTAACTGTTACAATTTTTAATAGACTTTTACATATACATAAGCAAATATATATAAGCATACACATACAGAAAGAGTTGTAAAAACATGAGAGAGATGCCAGGAACTCTACCCCACTAATACCTTCTGGCCCAGGAGCTAAACTACAAGAGCTTCCTTAATCAGTATGGTGAAAGGTAAATGCCAGCTTCCTTGGGAGTAAGCTTCATTATCAGGGAGGGAGAAGTTTCATACTCTGTATGACTGAGCCTGAACAGCTGAAAAGCTGGGAGAAAAGGGCTTTTAAAGATGGAGGAAAAGAAAGGATAAGAGAAATAGTAAACTTAAGCTGATTACAGAGAGAAAATAAAAGGCAAGAAGAAACTGTTGATAGACTTCTCACCCAACCCTTTAAGAAATCTGGCCTTGAAAGAGCTTACTTCCATGGCAGTAGGAAGCAAAGGAACTAGTTACTTAAAAGAAAAAGATTCCCTAAAACTTTTTACAGCTGATTTTCTCAGCTGAGATTCGCATTTCCAACTTTCCTATTGTTGCTGTCATAATGACTTATCGCTTTAGTTGGACATTATAGTTGAACATTACAGTTTGATTTAATGGTTTAACAAACTGAAGCTTTCAAAGGAGTCAATACTTGCTTTCAACTCTGACCCTAATAGTAAAGGGACAATTGTGGATAAATTAATGAGTCCTCATACTCCTTTGGTGTGTCCAGAGACTCCCAACACTTATTCTGTATATAAAGGGGTCAATCCCACAGTCAGCGCATCTGAAAAAAGGCAATGATAATATCTGGCTGCCCTTCAAAGCTGTGATAAAGTTCTTTGGGAACTTTGAAAATATGAGCAGAAATCCAGGACTTCATGAATTTTGAAGAAACAGTATAGGAAAGGTATTGATGCTTTTTAACTTTCATGTTGCAGAAGATTCTTGAGAATACCATGGATGGCAACAAAACAAACAAATGTATCATTCAATAAATTGACTCAGAATTCTCATTCAGGGAACAAATGAACTGACACAATGGAACAATGGGTCCTATCCATCAAAATGTGGAGAAAAGCAGAGCTTTACATTTAGGCCAGGGGTCCCCAACCCCCTGTCCATGGACTGGCACTGGGTTGGGCATGCCAGAAACCAGGCCGCACAAACAAAGCCCCATGCAGGCAGTACATGAAGCCATGCTCCCTCCGGTCTCCATGGAACCAGTCCCTGGTGCTCCAAAGGTTGGGGATCTCTGATTTAGGCAGGAAAAATCAAAGATATAAGTACAGATTAAGTGAGACCAGGCTCAAAAACAGTAACTATGAGAAGGACCAAGCTTGGAGTCCTAGTGGATGATCACTTGACTATAAGTCAGCAGTGTGGAGCAGCAGCCAAAAAAGCTAATAAAATCCTGATTTGCATAAACAAAGGCATAGAATCAAGATCACAAAGTATTGGTACTGCTTTATAAACCTGTAGTGAGACCATCTGGAATACTGCAACCAATTTCGGTCACCATACTACAAAAAAGATGTTGAGACCTTGGAAAAAGTACAGAGAAGAGCAACTAAGATGATCCAAGGCCTGGAGACTAAAACATACGAAGAATGGCTGCAGGACTTGGGTTTGGCTAGTGTAAAGAAAAGAAGAAATAAGGGTGACATGATAGCAGTACTCCAATATTTAAGAGAGTGCCACAAAGAAGAGAGGGTCAAATTATTCTCCAAACCACCAGAGGGCAGGACAAGAAACGATGGTTGGAAACTGATCAAAGAGAGAAGCAACCTGGAATTAAGGAGAAAGTTCCTAACAGTGAGGACAATTAACCAGCGGAACAGCTTGCCTTCAGAAGCGTGGGTGCTCCATCACTAGAGGTTTTTAAGAAGAGACTGGACAGTCACTTGTCTGAGATGGTATAGGTTCTCCTGCTTGAGTGGGGGGCTGGACTAGAAGACCTCCAAGGTCCCTTCCAGCTCTATTCTATTCAAATACAAATTACCCTACTTTAGACACATCCTGTGAAGACCTAACTCTCACTTTAGTGCTAGGAAAGGTGGAAGGAAAGAGGAAAAGCAAGATGGATGGATTCAGTTACAGTGCTGATGGTTACACCATTAGAAGACCAGGTTAGGGAGTGAAAATTATAAAGAAAATCTATGTATGTAATTGCCAAGAGGAAACATAAACTAGATAGCACATAATTGAACACCAGGATATAATAGTTACCTGGATAGGATGTACATTCATTTTCCTGAATTCTCCTGGCCTGTCCAATCAGATCAGACAAGATTATCTCCCTTCAGGTCATGTCTCTTCAAAAGTACCATCTGAAAAGACTATTTGTCTATTTTCAATCCCACCAAGTAGAAATCCTGTGTAGAAACCCTGTCTGTCTCTCTTGGGCAGGGGTCTTCAAACTTGGCCCTTTTATGACTTGTGGACTTCAACTCCCACAATTCCTCAGCCAGGCAGGCTGGCTGAGGAATTCTGGGAGTTGAAGTCCACAAGTCATAAAAGGGCCAAGTTTGAAGACCCCTGCTCTTGGGTTTCAGGAAAGCATTTGAGACTTAGCTTTTCTAGCTAGCCCTGAAAGGAGGCATATAATGAACATTGGCCATACATTTTTGATATTTTTGATATTTTTAACAGTTTCTTTTTTTGAGAAAGGTTAATAACTTTTTTTAAAAAACTGTTATTCCTTCAGAGATTTGGGAATGGACAGCATACAAATAAAAAATTCCACCACTAACTCAACCCAATTTGCCTCGTAGTGAACCCTAAAGCCATTGTGTTACACAAATCTGTTAGTTACACAACAGGCTAAGCTAAAATGCCATTGGTCGGTTTTAGGTCTGGGTTGTGTGAACTTGCAGCCTTATTATTGCACAAGCCCATTTCATATAATACAGAGAGCTATTAAGCATCTGCTAAAATGGAGCCCACGTGCCAGGAATACCTGCCGTGCCATTATTTCCACGCTAATTACTGAGAAGTTCGTACAGCCTTGCCCAACCATCACTGCGATGGCATGCCTGGCTTCATTCGTGATATATTACAGCACTGGCTGGATGACATTAAACGCTACAACGTCCGTAATGTGGAGATGGCCTTACCCTCTAAAGTGGCATGAGCCTTCCCACAGTCCCTTGCGGTTTCCATAACAGCTCGAGAGAACAAAAGCGAGGGAAAGGGTCAGCCAGAGCCAGAGCTTTCTCAGCAGGGTTAACCTTCACCTCTCCGCAGTGCCGAAGCTCTCTCCCCTCCCTTCCTTCTGTTTTGCTTCCCTTTCATTGGCTGCCTGGAGTCTAAGGCAAGACAGCGCTCTAATTAGGACCCGGGCGGACACGGATCCCGTTTCCTGGGCAAGCAGATAGGAGAGAAGGCAAAGTCCAAGCGACGACTGTAGCCGCCAGCGTCCCCGCCTAACCGAGCTGATTTGGTTTCGCTTCGCAGACTTTTCTTCTCGGCCGGAGCCAGGAGCTTTGCACTCGAGGCAGGTGGAGAGGGCACTGAGGAGGAAGAAGCTGCTTAAGCACCCGGGGAGACAGCCCTGGGCAGAGGCGGAAGGAGCGCGCCTCATTGGCTGAAAGTGTCTCGTTTAGGCGAGGGAAAGTTGGCCGCAGAATTCCTGACTGTTCCGCCGCGGGCAGAGCCGGAATCGGGGGAAAAGCAGGAGCACCAGCTGCAGGTAGGTGATCTCGGGTGGCTTTTCAGCGAAGGACGAGGGTGTTTCCTTGAGTGGACGGCTCGTCACAACCCAAAATTGGAGGGCCGTGGGAAAGCCGTGGGTCCCGGGTTGATTCCGTGCAGCAAGAGGAGAGGAAATAAAATCATATTTCTCTTGCAGTCATCCTACCCCGCACATACTTAGTTGTGCAGGAATAGGGTGTAATTAGTTGCGTTCAAATCAGTGTGAACGTTGTTGACTTGGCGGAATCTGAATTGCTCTAGTCCTCTGGAGTTGTTGTGGTACGGAAGAAAAGCACAGAGGGTGAGATAATCCTTAAAAAAAAAAAACTGCCAATAGTTGTTAAGGTCTACAAACTATTATCTCTTGCTTTAATTTTGTAGTTGCAATCCCCGATGAGGATAAAACGGCACTTTTATGTAGGTACAGTAACCTGTTAAAAACGGAAGCGCCTCTTTAGGTAACTGGGCTAGGATTGATTACAAGCAGCCTTAGTCCATTGGAAATCTTTCATAGATTAAAATAGGATGGTAAATTGCATTAAGGACCTTTCTAACATTTGAGTTGAGAATGTGATTGATTTAGATGCTTGACTAATAAATGCTGAAATTGGAATCAGTTAATGAAAATTTGGATCAGAGCAAAATATTTCTTAATGATACATGCTCTGAATAAATAATGTAAAAAAAATACTTTTTTCATGTTCCACTACATCTCCTCTATGAATCTACAAAACGGTGCACACATATTTTAACTGGGCTGTATTTGTTTCATCACATGAACAATTAGGAGTCTGTTTCTACATTCATTAGTGAGATGAGTGGTGCCTAAATTTGATGAATAAAAATAAATCTTATCACATGCAATTCTGTACAGAGCATCTTTACAATTACAGGCTGGTTAAGGTAACTTCAAATTATTACTGCTCCAAACATTACATAAGGTCATTAATTATGTGAAACATAGGTTATCAGATCTGGACTGCAAAATCCAGAAAATTGCTAGAAAATTGCAACAATTAGAATTTTCTATATTTGCTGGTGTGTGGAATTTCCTGAATTTTTGTAGCCCACAATTGGTATCCCTAACATATTTGATTCTTCATGTGAAGCTTTGTGAAATTTGCCTACAGTAAAACAATGCTGTGAATGCCTTTTATGAGACTGTATTTTCTTTTTCACACCCTCATAGTTAAAATACTCTGTAGCAAAGAAGGAACAGTATTGACATGTTATGCTTTTCTATGGCTATGAGGTCTGGCAAGATCTGTGGTATCAGTGCTAAGCAAAGATAATGAATGGTACAACTATGGCTGTTGCATTGAAGTACACATGATATACTTTCAATCAGAAAAGAGTTGGAAGGGACCTTGGAGATTTTCTAGTCCAACCCCCTGCTCAAGAGGTGACCCTATCCCATTTCAGACAAATGACTCTTCTTAAAATCCTCCAGTGACCTCTGACAGCAAACTGTTCCATTGGTTAATTTTCCTACTGTTAAAAAGTTTCTCCTTAATACCAGATGGTTTCTCTCCTTGATTAGTTTCCATCTATTGTTTCTTGTCTTGCCTTCTGCTGCTTTGGAAAATAATTTGATCCTCTACTCTTTGTGGCAATACTGGAATACTGCTCTCATGTCCCCCTTAGTGCTTCTTTTCTCTAGACTAGCCAAACCTAAATCCTGCAACCGTTCTTCATATATTTTAGTTTTCTGGCCTTAATCAACTTAGTTGCTCTTCTTTGCACTTTTTCCAAAGTCTCAACATCTTTTTGTAATGCGGTGATCAAAACTGGATGCAGTATTCCAGGTGTGGCCTTAATAAGGCTTTATAAAGTGGTACTAATACTTCATGTGATTTTAGTTCTGTGCTTCTGTTTATATAACCAAGGATTGTATTAGTTTTTTTGGCTGCTGGTCGCATACTGCTGGCTCATGTTTAAGTGATCGTTTTTAAACCAGGTTTCACCTAATCTTTACTTGTACTTTTGGTTTTTCCTGCCTAAGTGTAAAACTTTGCTTTTCTCCACATTAAATTTCATTTTGTTGGATAGGGCCCATTGTTCAGGTCTGTCAATATCTTTTTAGATCCTGAGCTTGTCTTCTGGGGTTTTCTGGATTATTCCTGCCAGCTTAGTGTCATCTACAAATATGGTGAGTTCCCCTTCTATTCCCTCATCTAAGCCGTTTATGAAGATATTGAAGTGTACAGGGCCTAAGATGGAACCTTGTGGTACCCCACTGCCTGCTTTCCTCCATGTAGATGTAATACCATTAAGAATGACTCATTGAGTATGGTTTGTCACCCAATTACAAGTCCATCTGGTGGTCATGCTATCTACCCCACATTTTTCTAGCTTACCAAGAAGTAGGTTGTGATCTACTTTGTCAAATGCCTTGCTAAAGTCTAAGTATACTATGTCCAAAACATTGCACCGGTCTACTAATTTAGTCATTTTGTCAAAGAATGAAATAAGATTGGTTTGGCATGATCTGTTTTTAACAAACCCATGCTGGCTTTTAGTTATAACTTTATTTCTTTCTAGATATTTGCAGATCTGTTTTTTGATTATCCTTTCCAGTATCTTCCCAGGTATTGATGTTAGGCTGATTGGTCTGTAGTTTCCTGGGTCTGTTTTTCCCCCTTTTTCGAGGATGGGAACCACATCAGCTCTTTTCCAATCCTCAGGTACTTCCCCGGTGTTCCAGGATTTTTGAAAGTTTATGGTACAATGATTCTGAGATAACATCTGCCAGCTCCTTCAGAACTCTGGAATGTAGTACATCAGATCCTAGTGATTTATATTCATCAAGATCAGATTTTCTTGCTTATTTTAATTTCTATTTCTAGAAATTTTTACAGTTAGGTTTTTAGTAGGTTGGACTATAGTTTCTTTTTCCGTGAAGACTGATGCAAAAAATGAGTTAAGCAGTTCTGGTTTCTCTCTGCTGCCTGTTACTTCCTTGCCATCATCTCTCTTAAGTGGACCTACTGTTTCCATCACTTTTTTCTTTTTATTTATATGTTGAAAGAAAATTGATATTGATAGATATTTCTAACAATATGAGTAATAAAAATGAAAATTGATGGAGAGCTAGTTCTGTATATGTTTATTAATAGATGTATCCAGCTGAGTGTGTTAGAAGTAGAGTATTTTCAGTATGATCCTATTATATGCCTTGTTTGCTGTAATTCAAAAGAAAATATGCTACAGTTGTTTCTTTTGGGTAACAAGAAATGTTTTTCTTTGGTTTAAGAATTGTCTGGAAGATAGAATTCACAACCTTGACATTTTCCCATTGATTCTGCAATATAAAACTCGTTTGTGCTTATTCTATAGAGAATTATTCTAGACATATCAGAAATGCTGTTTCTTAACATATCCATCATCAGAACTTTGACATGAAAAAAATGGATCTAAGTATTATCCAGTTCATCTCTTATGGCTTTGAAACTGAGGTCTGCTAACAAAGACATTTTTATTATGGAGTTTTATATGAGTCTGTATATAATAATCAGAATAGAGCTGGAGGAGACCTTGGAGGTCTTCTAGTCCAACCCTCTGCTCAAGCAGGAGACCCTATCCCATTTCAGACAAGTGGCTATCCAGTGTCTTCTTAAACACTTCCAGTGATGGAGCACCCACAACGTCTGAAGGCAGGCTGTTCTACTGGTTAATTTTCTCACTGTTAAGAAGTTTTTTCTTAATTCCAGGTTGCTTTTCTCCTTGATTAGTTTCCATCCATTATTTCTTGTCTTATCTTCTGGTGCTTTGGAAAATAGGTTGACCCCCTCTTCTTTGTGGCAGCCCCTCAAAATACTGGAATACTGCTATCACATCACCCCTAATCCTTCTTTTCTCTAGATTAGCCATACGCAATTCCTACCACCATTCTTCATTTGTTTTTGTTTTCAGGTCTTTAATCATCTTACTTGCTCTTCTTTGCACTTTTTCCAAAGTCTCAACATCTTTTTTGTAATATGGTGACCAAATCTGGATGCAGTATTCCAGATGTGGTCTTACTAAGGATTTATAAAATGGTACTAATACTTCACGTGATTTTGATTCTACGTCTCTGTTTATACAAACAAGGATTGTATTAACTTTTTTGGCTGCTGCCGCACACTGCTGGCTCAAATGATCATCCATTAGGACTCTAAGGTCCCTCTCACAGTTACTGTTTTTGAGCCAGGTTCCCCCCCCCCCAAAAAAAAGTGCACTGTGTGTCTTAGATAGAAGGCTAAATTCTGGATAAACAGTTATACCAGAAATGGCCCATATGATATTTAGGATCCATCTGCCTCCTAACATAGAGACAATACTTTAACTGATTCCAAGTGGGACTGGTGCAATAATCTCTGAGGATGGAAGAACAGACAGGGGAACCAATATGTTCTTTTCACAAGTATTAAATGCCTTGTGCTCAGGCCATAACTTTAAAATCCCAGCTACATATGAGTGTGGGCCAAATGCGTTGAGGACATCTTCAGTCTAGGATATTGATAAAGAGATTAAGACTGGATTCCACAACTCATGTACTTAAAACAAACTAGGATCCATTTAACAAAATTAGTTTTGTCTCTGACTAAATATGCTTAAGACAAGTTTTAATCCAGCTGGACACTGCCTAGGAATATTGTGTGGGATAAATGAGCACATAAAAGAGAAAGATTCTACGTTATCTCTTGATGTGCTTGCTTACTTCTATAGGGAGGTTTTAACAAGAGAAAGAAGAAAGTCTTAGCTCATGTTTTTTGAATCTGTTGTCTAGGTCACCCTTTAGCAGTACTGTATATTCAAACACTGCAATTAATTAGTAACAGACATACAATGCTTCACTATTTGTTGTTCACAGAATTAGAATTCAAAGGTAATAATTCCCAGCCTTCCTCAATGTACTTCAGATACAGACTTACAAGTTCACCTGCTTCTGCAGCCTATTTATTTCTTTGTTTCTTTGTTTGTTTATATTCATTCAATTTATTTGCTGCCTATCTCGCT